TCTCACTCTAGCTCAGACTGTCCTGGAATTTGTTCTGTAGCCCAGGTTAGTGCCAAATTCATAGTAATCCTCTTGTCTCAGCCTCTTAAGTGCTTGGGATTTTAGGTGTGAGCTACCATGCCCAGCTAATTACAGCTATTTTTAAAAACCTTTAAAAACCAGACTATTTTCTGTAGATCTTCAGGCTGTTTCCAGGACCGGCTGCTTGCCTCTCACAAAGACAAGATTCCTGTGGCCTCTATTTTTTTCCACTGGTGCTGAGGATGGCACCTAAGGCCTTGCACCTGTGAGGCAAGCACCTACCACTACATCAGCATCCTGCTCATCACGTGCTCTGCCCTGCTTTGTGCACTGTTCATTTTGGATGTGAATTTGTCTTCAGGGAGAGCTGTCACCTGTGTCCATGCTGGCTCTCCATCATGAAGGCTTCCCTAAAGAGTCACTTGGATTTGCTTTTGCTGGGGTCCCTGGAAACAGATGGCTTCCACAGAAAAAGGAGTAAGTCGCAGGCCTGAGGGCGCCAGGACTGGCACCAGGCTCTCTGCAGAAAGTCGGAGGCAGGCAGGAAACATCTGCCTGGAGTGGGAACACTACCAGCTGAGCTGTCTGCCAGCCTAGACAAGCTTGGGATCAGGAGGCCGCCTGAGTTCTGAGGGAAAACTGAGTCAGCCTCATGACCCTGGAAGCGCAAGCCTCCTGCCTGGAAGATGCCCTGTGATGCACTGAGGAAGCTATGGACCTAGCATATGGGAGAAGCATGTTGTGCTATTCTGCTTCTGTGTATGTTTGAAATTCTGTGAAAATGTCATTACGAACACTGCCAAGTGCTCAACACATACAACTGTCCCTGGTGCTCTGAAGCACATGGCTTCAGCTCCATCTCCCAGTCCAGCTTTTGACTTCAGCTCTTTGTTTCTGGCACCTGGGAATTCCCTGTTAGCTTTAGCTTTCAAGTGCAGCTATGTAATTTAAACAGGTTTACTCTGTTATTTCTTCTAGATGGGAAAGCAAGGTGTGTGGGGGAGGAAGTAGGGATGGAGGTAGAGGTGGAGGTAGATGCTCTGACATCTACTGACAAACTGACCAGATGTCCTTTCTAATCAATAAAAAAGCCCCACTGAAATATTCCCTCTTTAGGGAAGCCTTTCCCATCTGCCACCAGCTATAGCTAGGCGCACACTCTGCCATCTATTCAGGTTCCCACACTAAACCCTGGACTGGAGCAGCAACTGAATGACATTTTCGACTCCCATTGACAGGGGAAACTGCTTGCTAGAAGAGTCTAAGCATGAACAACACCCAGCCCAGGGCATTCCAAGCAACAGGTTGAGTAGCTGCTATCCCTTTCAAGGTGAGTTATGGGGGCTCAATGTGAGTTCTACTGTGGGCTGCCACAGAGGCCAAGCTGAGCCAGCAGCAACGTCCAAGAGGATGCTGACAGTGGACCCCTTCCCAGGGGGTAACAGAAAGGGCAGGCCCAAACCAAACCCTCTATCTCCTCCCATGCTTCCCAGCCCCAAAGCCCCTGGAGCCCACAAATAAGCTGGCGCTGTTCTCAGCCCCAGCTCTTTGATCCAGGCAAGCAGCAACACCTAACTGGCGCCCTCCACCAGTTCTGACCTTATCAGGCTTAGGGGAGAGACAGGTGCCTGGGGCACAGGCCAATTAGGTGCCTTGCTCTGGTGCCCACTGAGTCACATCCTGGTTGAGCTTGCCCAGCATCTTAGCTAAAATGGCCAGCAGGGTGAGGACATTGAAGGGAGCCATCCCAGCTGTGTCACAATAAACAACAGGGTTAAGGCAGGCGACAAGGACTCACAAGGCTGGGAATTCTCATCTGGGCCCAGAGGCACCCACTGTGGGGACACTGTGATGTCAGACACGCAAGCTGCAAAAGCCAGAGGCAGGGTCCCTCTGCCACAAGTTCTCAGCAAGTTGCCCCCCTCCCTTGGCCCACCTCTTTCACCAGCAAGTGAACTTGGCAAAGGGAGCCTGTAGAGTTCTGAAAGAATCAAAGGAGACCATATTTGTGGGGGACCTGTCCACTTCTAGCCAGGTCCCTGGAGGTCAGTAGAGTCCATGAAGCAAGAATCCAGCCTGGGAGGTACTGCGGAAGGAAACAGGGCCTGACCTCCCACATTCTCTGGAACTGGTTACCCCCCTGCCCCTAAGCCCCTGGGAGGCCAAGTAAAACTGACCACACTCAGGGTAATTGATGAAAGAAGCTGGGGTACAGCCTCCCTCCAGATCACCAGCAAGGCTAGAACCAAAGGGATAAGGTTCATCCAGCTTCTTGGGGACTCATGTGGGGGTAGAGACTAGAGTCTTAGAAAGCGGCGTAGCCCACTCTTCCCATACTGCCACTGGTCAGGACCCCTTCCTCTGGGTGATCACCTTGCACAGAGCAGGGCAGCCCAGCCACGGAGGCCAGGAAGGGGAAAGAAAGGCCTGAGCTCATAACTTGGGTGGAGGCCACAGCTGTTGGGATAGAGTCCTGACCACTGTGTGCCTTGCCCCTCTTTAGCTCAGTGTCATTTGTTAAGAAGGAGTCCTACAACAAGTTAACAGATCTCTCTCTAAGCCAAAGGCCCTATCCAGGATCTCTGCCCAGCAACAAAGGTCTGGGTGCTTGCTGAGGGGCCTGGGCAGTGCGCTGCGTGCCGTGCAGTGCTGTGCCATACCTGTGTCATTCTGTGAGCTCTAGGGGCCATTGTGCATATGGAATGCCACCTAGACAGGTCAGGCAGGTTCCAGGGCAGATTCCCTCCACCCCCACCCTCCTAGAACAGCTTGGCTGGGGAAGGGTTCACGGGCTGGAATGCAAACCAGAGCTCTCCCACACACCAACCTGCCTCGGGTTCACAGCCAGATGAACTCCAGGACCAAAGGCCCAAAGACAGGCTGGAGTCACATGACAAGGTTGGAGGCCAGTCATGACCAGACATCCTGGGATCCCTTACTGGAGTGAGTCTCCAGCAGACCTTCATGAGCCATCTTAGGTCATGGTGGTATAGCCAAATCCAGGAGGGAGGCCAGGGAGTCAAGAGTACAGATCCTATGGGCCCTGAAGGGTAGGGCAAGGAAAAGGGAGATATGGTCTATCTCTCTAAAAGGGAAACTGAGAGGCTAGGGCAGTTGCACAGTGGTTTCCCCTGTGGCCTCTGCTGTATTTGCCACAGCTCAGAAGACCTCGCCCATGGGGAGGCTGGGATCCAGGAAGAGAGGCAGGGAGCCTGTCTAGGGCTGAGCCTAGACAGGACCCAGGACCTCAGACTGCCTCAGAAGCTGACAGGTGATGGCATCCTTTGTCATTCAGGAGGCAATTCCTAAGTGGATCAGAATGAAGGAGTGGAGGAGGTAGAGTGACAGGAACAGGTCACTGAGGCTCAGCGGGCATCACCCAAATCACTGGCTCCTGGGTCAAGACACTGGGTACCGATGATGTGTTAGAACCCCAAAGAAGGATTCCCTTGGTGGGCTTCAGCTCCAACCCTGTGACTTTGCCATCTCTTCTACCCACTTGGGACAGAGGCATGTATTTTGTCTTACAAGAAAAGAAGCTGAGGCTTAGAAGGGAAGGGCCCATGGTGGATGGCAATCATGGGATTTTGCTGCAATGCCCACCCTCATTCTGATTTGAGGACAGAAGAGACCAACAGAATGAAGGTTGAGCAGAGCTGCTACCCCTGGGCGAGGAATAGGCCTCACCTGACTGCAGCAAGCCGGCACCCCGGTCCTTGACCCCAAAGTGCTGCTGGATGTCCAGAAGAACACCTGGAGGGAGATAGAGGGTGATTATTGCAAAGTCAAACCAAGGGCATTCCTATTAGCTGCCCCAGTCTCAGAGCAGCCTGGCCCACCTCTGACATCCCTGGCCTGCTGTGACCTATTCAGGCCACTGGGAAGCTTGGGGTGACAGGCTCCTCTCCCATCCCCACTGAGGACCTCCCATGCTCAGTCTGGGCATGATAGTCACTCATCAGCCATAGCAGAAGCCTTAAGTATGATGAAAAGCAAGACTCTTCTGTGGTCACTCGATAAGGCTGACCTCTGTCTTGCCTGTGCTCCACCCTGGGTGAGAGAGCAGGACCTGAACCATAGGGCTGAGTCCTTTTCTCTGCCATTCACAAAGCCTCCAGATAAGGAGCAAGTGCAGCCACAGTTGTGTCTCCAGTTGTGGAGACAGCTAGTAGCTGGGAACAAGGACAAAGTGACTTAAGGCAACATTTACACAGGCTCTCATGCCCCTGTATGTAAGCATATGTGCTTGCACATGTATGTGTGTTTGCGTGTGCGCACGTGTTCTCTCTCTCTCTCTCTCTCTCTCTCTCTCTCTCTCTCTCTCTCTCTCACATGCACACACATACCACATATGCCAGCTGCCCTCGTGACCAGGACTCCATTTCCCAGACACAGGAAGCAAGCCTCAGAGAAACAGGTCCTAGAGGCCATGATTGTTCCCCAGTCTACCACCTTTGCTCTCCACTGGGGCTCTATCAACAGAGGCTAAAGGAAACCTACAAATCATCCACTGCTGAGAGACAGAGCCATAGCTGTGTTGGGGCTGCAGACCCCACATGGCTTCCGTAGCTCTTACTCAAGTCTCCAGAGTTAGTACCCCAGCAGCCTAGCCCCAGGCCCCACCAGGCTTATCTCTGTGGACAGAAGGACCACCAACCGCAGTCCTATACCACAGAGAAGGAGTTACGGACAGGAAGAGATGACTCTCTGCCTTCAAGAGCTGCCTGCACTGGGAGCAGAGGCTCTTGCGGATCCTGGAGCTTTCTTTGAAAATAACAGCATGACTGGTGACTAGCGGTTTGTGTGTTGGATGTGAAATCCCTTGTCTGTTTACTCCCCATGTAGCCCTGTGAGACCGCACTGTTATCCCACTGGACAGGTGAAGAAACTGAGGGACAGGAGACTGAGCCATAGGCTCAAAGTGACCAACATGGAAGAAGGAGCCAGAGATTGCTGACCACTGTGTCTGGGTTTATTCTGACAGATGGGGTGGGGGCACCAAATGTCACTGTCCCTCTTTAGACCCTTTTGGGAAGCTAAGGGATCTTCCGGGCTGTAGGGCCAGGCCTGGCTGGTGACTGGCAGCCTGAGAGTTGGGAGAAAGCTTCTTCCACTAATTCGCTGAGTAGGATTCTCCATAATTACACTAATGAAGAGGCAGTGTGAGGCTCAGCTAATGACTTAATAACCAAGGTCTAATGGGGCAATGCCCTTGCCACAAAGCTGGATAGTAGGAGCTAGGTCTGTAGATGGACAAAGTCACTATGTGGGACCAGTGGTGCCCTGACCAGCCTCAGAGGCCAAGAGGCAACACTAATGGACTCAGCTTTGGGGAATTGTCCACACTCACCTCCCAGGCCCCAGCCTATTCCCTGTCCTAAGTCAGGCCTTTCTCTCGGTCACTGTCGCCTGTGTACACTGGCTCCACAGTGTACAAGCCCTTCCTCGGGTCACAGACAACAGGTTCACAGTTCTGCCAACCCTGCCCTCTTGTCCCACTTCTTGGATGAGAGCCTCACCTCTCAAACTACCCAATGCCTGCTTCCACACTCCAAATGCCTCTTCTCCAGCCTGGCCCTTGGCTCGTTACACTGATCCCTGCCACTCCTTCAAGATTGGTTTCCACGCCTTCTCTTCTAAGCAGTATTCCCTTATTTCTCCCGCTTCTGCCACCCTCATTCAGCCAGTGCCCAGTATTTCCTGGTCCACCCTGGTATTAGCATCAATCCCAAGGAAGAGTCAGGATGAGTTAGTTCAATAGAGAAGACACACAGGGTTGAAGGCTCCACTGTGACTGGGAGTTAATGTCATTAGTAATTGCTTCCTAGTAAATTCTGGTATTGGGAGGTTCTCATGGCAAATCTAATCCGGTCACTCGCCTGGTGTTCGAGTTGCCACCACCATTCTGCACATGAATAAGCCAAAGCTAAGGGGAAGGAAGCCACTGCCGCATAGCCCCTCAGGCTCTGGACATGGGCTTTGAAACCAGGTCTTGAAATACTGAAGGGAAAAAACAAGCTTTGTTTCTGTCAGTGCCTCCCATAACAGACAGCTTTTGTGAGTACAGGTCAAGGCAGTGTGTGTGTGGAGGGGGTCCCATACAACACACAAGCCATGGCGGCTGCAGCAGACACAAACAGGGAAACGGTCACTTCAGTTCCAACAGCACCCACCAAAGGAGGCGTCAGATGACCCAGGGGGAAGACTTAGTCCCAAGGCTGCTCGCCATTGCAGGTGCCCATCAGAAGCCCCAAGCTGTCCTGTGGGGTTCCCACAATCCCTTCGAGTTCAATTCATTTGCAAGCACAGCTCACAGAACTCAGGAGAACACACACACACACACACACACACACACGCCTATAACAAAGATTTCAGGGTACACATAGAACAAAGTCTGTGTTGAGACACATGGGGAGGGGCATGGGGCTCCTCATTTTCTAAAGCATCTACCTACAGGAACACCTATAGGAACCTCCCAGAAGCCTGCTCTCCTTGGGATTTTTGTGGAGGCCTTGCTATATAGTCTTATTCATTGAACCCTTGGCCAGTGGTAATCAACTCAGTCCTCAACTCCTCCCTCTTCTGTCTCAGCTTTCCAACCTTGTGTCCAGTGACCAGCCTCTACACTGAGGCTCCCTGGGGACATGACCAGCAGGCAATTTTTCAGCATGCCAAATATGCTAATCCTTTTGAAAATTCCAATGATTTTGGTGAAAAGTAAAGAGTCTCTCTTGCTGCCCTCTGCCCTGCCTCTTGCTGCTTCATTCTATCCCCTAGCTCAGGGCCCAGCACAGAGCTGGTTCCCAGGGACAGTACGGATTGGGTGAATGTAGATTGATGGGTAACCACGGGTAGGGCACAGACCGTGGGGAGTCGGCTCCGGAGCTTATAACAAGGACAGTCATAACCTCAGTGCTGGGTAGATAAAGGATGGGCATCAGCAGGGAGTGGGAGAATGAACTGGTACCCGCCCCATCTCCCTATCCCCCCACCCTGTCCTGAGTCAGTGGCTGTCTGCCCACCACCAAAGGAAGGGCCTGGGTCTAAAGTTAAGAGAGCCCACTTCCAGGAAAGGAAGTTGTATCAAAACCTGTACAACTTTCCCGCTAGTCGCTCCCCATCCAGTGGTTTTCTAGCCTGTTATTTGCCTCTGCCTCCAGGAAGCTTTCCCCGACTTCTCCATTTCTCTACACACAGACAGGAATCCAAGGTCGCTAGGGACTTTAGGGAAATTTAGAAGCCAGGGCACAGGAACTTTGGGATCCCTTCTGCCACTTGCCCTAAAGCTATGGGTGTAAGGCCAGAGTAACCTCGCAGAGCAGGAACTGCATCTAAAGAGGTCAGGCCCCTCTGAGCCTTTCTAGGTCATTCTCTCTCTTTCCAGCCTGGAGAGAGGCAGGGTGGCGGGAGAGCAGGACCCTAAGAGCCACTGGCATGGGAAGCTTGTGTCACAGCAGCTCACAGCTGGCTCACATTTTCCTCCAGGCTCCATCCCGGAGCAGGCACATACATCCTCCCCACCCCCCACTTTTTTTTTTTTTTTTTTTTTTACCACAGTCTTACATTTACTCTTTCCTGGAGGCTGAGGTTCGCTGGGTCACAGGATGGGCCTCACGCCCAGGAGCAGCTTCCCACAGCTCAGGCCAAGTCTGGTCGGCCCCCTGGTAAACCAGTTCCAGCCAGGGAGCGGACAAGGTGGGGATTCGACCCCAGTGTGGTCCCCACTTATTCTAGCCAGAGGCCAGCCTCTCCAGGAGGTCACCCAACCCACAACCACAAGGGTCACATCCCCAGGGGATACATACTCTGGAATAGCAGCACCCCTGAATTCTCAAATCCATTCACAGATATCACACCCCTCACAAACTCTGGGGGAGGCTCTCTTCTCCTTATAGGATCCTGGATCTGTCAGCCTCTATCTGGTACCTCAGCTTTCAGCCTCTTCCTGGCATCTGACTCTGTCTGGCACTCCATGTTTTATGTGTCCTGGTTGTGGGTGCACCATAACCTGTCCCCTTGGACAGCACCCCACCCCTTCACAGCAGCAGCTTTTGGGCTTGGGAATGTGACTCAGTTGCTAGACTGCCTGCCTGGCACACACAATGACCGGAATCTGCTTCCCAACACCTCACACACTAAGTGGGGTGCTGCATGATGCCTTGAATCCCATCACTCAAGAGGTAAAGAGACAGGAGGATCAGGAGCTCAAGATATCCTTGGCTATACAGCAAATTCAAGGCCAGCCTGGGCTACATGAGACCCTCCCAACAAAACAAGACAAAAATAGAGTTCTGTCCTCCAAATTGTGTCCTCACTTAGGATGAACAACCCCCAGGGGTTTACCTCAGACTCTCCTCTCATGCTTTAACTTCCCAGCCTCTCTTTCCACGGCTGTCAGCTAACACCCTGGCTACTGTAGGAGTCACCTGTACTCCTTGCCACCCTTAGTCCCATGAACAATCTCCAGTGTCCTCCACTCTTCACCGCCCAGCCTTCGTCAGCAGCTTCCCTGCTTCTAGCCCTTACTTGCCCCTGTTCACTGCTCCTGCAGCCAGACCTCACGAGCAATCAGTAATCACTGCCCAGGTTCCAGGAATGAGGCTCCAGAACCTTCAAGGCTATCTCTGAACTGGAGAGGCTACTCCTGCAGCCTGGGGAGTGTTAACTCTGGCCATGCCTCAGAATCACCCACAACTTCCTTGAGACCTGCTGACTCAGTCTCTGGCTCAGTGATACTACAACAGACAAGAGCA